AGTCATTTCTGCAAAAGGATTCCCGACCAAGTATTGAGTGAATAACTGAACAATTATTTGAAGGTTGAGTTTTTTTGTATTAAAAACACTTTTCATTAGTTGGTCAGATGAAATATGCTACTTTTGGAGATAGGGATTTTATTTTTTTTTCTTTACTTTTTTGCCAAAATCTTCGATTTTAAAACAATGAAAGGCTTGAACTACTTCAGTTGGTGTGCAATGAATCTAAAATATATGAAAGTTTAATGTTTATCAGTACATTACAGAAAATAATGAACTTTATCACAAAATGCTAATTTTTTGAGAAGGACCTGTATCTGCTGTTGCTACTACACCTGCATTTCCCTGCGCAGAACAATAAAGGCTGTTTCTATTCTATTCTTCTATAGATTCTGGTTCATATATAGGGGTGGGTATCGTTATATATTGCTTATATTTCTAGTATTTTTGGGACAGAGCTTCTAAATAAGGTCTGGACTTACCAACTACAATTTGGTGGTCTTCATGCTCCTCTGAACCGGTCTAGAAGCTGGAGGGGGGCGGGGTGTGTAGCACATCATTTGGATTTAAAGAGACAGCCTCATAACGGGTTGATCTGAGACACACCTCAGAAAAGGAGTGAAAGAGGGGCTTGTGGAGTTACAACAAGGAGGAATTCAGACCTAAGCCTTGCAGTTAGTTCCACTTTGTATAAACCCCAGCTGAATGATTTAAATGTGAAAAAGAAGAGTTTAAAAGCCTGATGCAGAATGTCTCCTTTAATACAACCAGATGGAAACTGCTGTTTGAAAATCTGTTTTCATATCTTTGTAGGGTTCGCCTTTCAGAAGGTTTTCATTTTGCTGCCAGTGGAGAGGGCATCATAAACATGGTGACTGAGCTGCCAATGAAGGTAAAATCATTTATACGTAGAGTGTGTAGCTGGATTACTTTGGGTTCTTACTGTATTTCAACTGAACTTTGTGACTTCAGAGTGCGTCAGGAGAAACGGGACGAGAGAGCCACTCTTGCATCGTTCAGTACATTCTGTTTCCACCTCAATCTACCTCCAGTAAAGACAGGTAGGACTGGAACAGATCTTTCTGATTTAGGTAGAATCAGTCCAGCACTGAGGTTCTGATTGAGCTCGTTTCTCCGCCCGTCGCTGCCAGCTTCTCCACGGATGATGACAACGACACAGAGGTGGAGGCTGTAGACGTGGACACAGAGCTGAACCTGGTGACGGAGTGCTGGGTGGAACCACAGAGCGGCATCGTCATGAACTGCATGGACCAGCACCGACACTTCCAGGGCCTCAAGTACCAGGAGCTGCCCCATGCAGTGTGTATACTCCTTTGATCCAGTGATTGGTTCTGTCCCCACTCTCATCCAGATTCTGAGTGTTTGAAGTTTAAAAAGTCTGTTCACTCAGACGTGATCTGTTGTTGTTGTAGATCTTCCCCAGAGATTTGGCTTGCATGTCCACAATGATGACTTTTGAGTATTTGAGCCAACTGTGTCAGAATAAGAACCAGGTCTTCTCTTTGCCCGTTGGACTCAAGGATGTGCAAGGTAACAAAACTTTTAATTCACTAATATATTACCAGGGTTTGGGTGGGGTGTGGGGAGCGGGGTATTGTGTATCTTCTAGGCACAAAGTTAAATTCCATACCTCAATCAAGTCACTATGTAACCATCAGTTGTTATGAAAATGCTGTATATATCATCATAGCCTGTCTATATGCCTTGAAATTGGTCTTAAGAGCCTCCTACTGTTTCTGACACTCCCACTTCAGCACGTCTTCACAACAATGCTTCATGCCATTTACAAACTTTTATAGCATTGTTGTATTTTGTTGTAAAAAAGAAACAACATTAGTTTTGGAAAATGACAACTCGTCCCACATCCAATCCAGAAATATGTTTTCTGAAGAACCAGAGCGAGTACATAGGCTCTTACTAGACCTTTCAGCTTGGTACGATATCTCCTCATACATACATCAACGTTAAGCTACTTTTGGCGAAGAAGCTATAAATACACTGCAGATTATTATAAAGGTATATTTTGCAGTGAACTGATGAACATCCACCATTTTTAAGAAATGTTTTGCTAGTCTGTGGAGCTGTGTGTGTGTGTGTGGGGGGGGGGGTGCCTGTGTGGTGGGAGCTCAGCTGCAGACTGAGTTCCCGGGAGGAGCTTTGTGTAAATAGGCGGGGCTTTATACCAGCAAGTGTTTAAGCAGCTCCACGTGGCTACCAGGAGATTCAAGGATTTCTCAAACATGCATGAATGAGTCAAAGCAACACTCTGGGTATGTGTTTGATGAGGGAACAACATTATAACATGATATAAAGCCGACCTTTGGAATAATTAAAGTTGACTGTTTTCTTCTCCGTGAGAATGGAAGTTCCCCTTAGACTTTTTACATGCATTTAATTTCATGTCAGCTGTCTGTGTGCCTAGTAAGTGTGCGATCACAGATGTCTGTTGACATTTACATGCGACCAAAATAAACTTACCAATTACATTGAGGTTGTTTTATTTATTTTTGAGAAGCTTTTTTATGAGATTGAATGTGGTTCAGTTTATTGTTTGTCTTTAATCCATAAAATCTAAAACTCATGAGAAAATATCTTGTTTAAATAGCCCTTAAACCTGAGTGAAGTCACATTTCAGTGTATTTATTGCTTCAGTACTTTGTAGGTTGACGCTGTCAACTAAAAAGCCAGCGTGGAGGTACATGAGGCCCCATGTGTGAGGTGCTGAGAAACCAGGCGAGCTGAAGAAAAGCTGAGGAGAAATATCACAAAATGAATAGAGAAATAACTGGGAACTCTCAGAAACTTCAAACCAGAGTAAGAGAGCATATAGGAAGAGACTAATAAATGAACTTGCTGTTGATGTTTTAGACTAATAAATGAACTTTTTTTTTTCATTTTTATAAATCTTTATTTGAACAAAAGACAAGTATACAGCAAACAAGTTAATGAAGAATACAGAACACAGCACTTACATGAACAAAACAGCCAGGGGTATAAATTAAACAAAGATATGCAAAGAATTACATATAGAGATCTTCTTTAGGGCCTTTTCATTGGAGTCTGTTATTGAATGAGCATATACACCACTAACAAAAAGTTATGGATATTTGGCTTTCAGATGAAATTTATGGAAATTGTAAAACGTTCACGCTACAGTGATGTCATATCATGAAAGTAGGACATTAGAAGGATGCATTGGCGATTTCCTCATCTCAAACAATTTATTGAAACAAAAGTTACATTAACAACAAGTCCAGACCCTTGTTCGAAGCAAAGTGAAGGACAGGGTCTGGTTTAAAACAGGCTAGGGGAATCTAGAAAAACAAAATAAAACATTTTCCCAATGTAAAAAAAATTCCTTCAAAATATGTTTATTGATAAATCAGTAAATGAACTTTCTGTTGGTGTTTTGGACGAATATATAAACTTCCTGTTGGTGTTAAGACTGATAAATGAACTTCCTGTTGGTGTTTAGACTGATAAATGAACTTTCTGTTGGTGTTTTGGACTAATAAATGAACTTCTTGTTGGTGTTTAGACTGATAAATGAACTTCCTATTGGTGTTTTGGACTAATAAATGAACTTCCTGTTAGTGTGTTGGACTAATAAATGAACTTCCTGTTAGTGTTTTGGACTAATAAATGAACTTCCTGTTGGTATTTTGGACTAATAAATGAACTTCCTGTTAGTGTTTTGGACTAATAAATGAACTTCCTGTTGGTATTTTGGACTAATAAATCAACTTCCTGTTGGTGTTTTGGACTAATAAATCAACTTCCTGTTGGTGTTTTGGAGTAATAAATCAACTTCCTGTTGGTGTTTTGGAGTAATAAATGTAGTTCCTGTTGGTATTCAGACTGATAAATGTACTTCCTGTTGGTGTTCAGACTGATAAATGTTCTTCCTGTTGGTGTTCAGGTGAGGTCCTAACCTCTGAGGACAGTGTCCATATGGTTCCTTTCCAGTTTGATCTCATTCAGCTGCTCCCAAACTGTCAGCAGGTTGAACTCTTCTTCCTCACATTCGGTGGAGGTGCGGTTCATTTCATTTTATCTTCAAACAGATGATTTTTGTTCTAAAACTCATTAAAAAGAAATTTCCTGTTTCCGTTAGTTGTAGAGAATGAGGACCAGGTTCCCAGTTCTCCCAGTCTGCCCAGTGAGCTCCTGCTCAGCCTCTTCCACAACAGCCTGGAGCAGGAACTGAGCGACAAAGAGGTCCCATTGGCTGCTAAAGACCACGGTGCCTTCATGCATCACATCTTGGAGAGAGAACGAGACGGCCATGTGGCTCCATTCTCTCTAGCTGTCATTAAAGGTCAGTGTGTGTCTCTGAGACTCATCCGATGCGCACGTTCACCACATTCACTGTGTGTTGTTGTTTAGAAGAAAGTATGAAGACTACAGACAGACAGGACACTGTGACGTCGTTCCACACCACCACCAGCAGCAGGGAGGTGATGGGATCTACAAGCACTTTACAGGTGATCCAGTTTAATAAACCCTTTATAATCCAGTCACTACATCAGCATATGCTGCTTTTAAAGGGGACATTTCAAGTAAAATCCACTTTTTTAGCTGTTAAATACATTTTGTTGTGTACTTGGAGTCTCTGAGCGTGCAGAAAAGTTGAATTTAGTCTCTCCTGGTGCTGCAAAGATATCTTCATATTCTGTTTGGGTCAGATTTTTCAGCATGTTCAGTTTTCTCTATTTCCTATGAAGTTTTCTGAACTATTACATCAGAGTACTTGTGACAGAACTGAAGTAAGGTCTGGACTTACCAACTTACTAATTTCATCTTCATTCTCCTCTGGCTCTGGGTCAGACTCTGGCTCCAACATGTGAGGTTAGGTGAACAAGTCTTCTGTTGTTGACATCTTTTAATTAATTTGTAAATAAAAAGTTTCCATGCAGCTATGTAGTCATAAACCTCTCTATATAACCAGAATGAGCCGGTCTGGAAGCTGGTGGGAGGTGTGATGTAAAGCGTCTCGTTTGCATTCAAAGAGGCAGCCTCAAAACGAGCTGCTTTGAGACACTCCTCAGAGAAGGGGTGAAAGAGGGGCTTGTGGAGTGGAGTATGTCATGTAATCTTTTTTTAAATCTTAATTTTACATTTAAAATTTGAGAAAAACTAAATGAAATGATTGATTCTTTCTGTAACCCATGTCTCCCTCTGCTTCGACCTGTTAAATGATGACATCATCTTCCTGTAGAATAACGCATCGGCTTGTAAGAAAACTGTGATCAATAACTGGAAGTCGGAATAATAAGTTTGCAGAAAACAAATCTATATTAAAAGATCTGAACTCCATTTCCAGCCAGCTCACAGCCTGTCAGCCAGGCAGGACCTGTGAGTTTGAGGCCTTGAGTATTATCAGTAACAAAACAATAACAACCCTTAAGCTGGGTTAACGCCGAGCGCGTATTGAGCAGCAGGAGCGGCCGGTTTACCTGCAAAGTCTATGGTGGACGCGCGTCTAGGGGTCTCACGGCGCGTTTAGCCTGTTGAACGTGGCAGGCGATGAAGCGGTAGGTGCGGTTTGAGCGTTGACGTGTATGCGGTGTCCAAAGCAGCCGATGCTTGAGTTAAAAGCTCTGAACATTTGCTGCTCGACGCACGGCATCAACCAATCAGAGACTAATTTTTCCCCGTGACGATTTCCTGAATGTTGCCCACTGACCTGAAACAGATGTAAAGGAGCTCTTTAGCTGAAATCGACCATCTGCATTTGGTGTTCTGGCTGGAGATATCAGCACCGATATGGGTCAGCAGCTCATTAAACTGACCGCGGTGTTAAACTGGGCTCGGGACAAAAATAGTTTGTCAGCTCGCAGCTCCTGGAGTGGTGAAACCCACCGAACAGACCGCCTCTAAATTATCTGGTGAATTAATTATCTGCTGTGTGCAACGTTTGCTTGCTCTTAGTAAAAACTGTAATACAAAGCCACTTTCTTTATTTTATCCGTCATTAAAGACAGACCAGAAAAAAAAGCAAGATGCTCCTCCCATAAAACCGTCTTCAGATGTGCGTCTAGTCTCGTTCCAGTCTGAATGTAGCGTGTTCAACTTGAGGCGTTCGGTGTGAACGTAGCTTTATAGGAGCAGCTGCTGTTCAGGCTGCCCTAAAAAGAATAATGAATGAAGAATCACCCTCTCAAAGTCTCATGTACATAAACCGAACTTCCTGGTCACACCCCTGGGGGCGGTACCTTTTATGTTCTCATATGAGGCCTCATATTGAAAAGACACACTGACTCTTTCTCTGTTTAAAGCATATGACTGCATTTTGATCACAAAGTGTAAAATACAAGACTGGATCCAAAGTTCAGTTAATTAAACAACATTTCCTTCTGGCTGTTGGAAACTTCACACTAAGTTCTATAATAAGAGTCAGGGTTTGCTCCTTATCGCTCGCAGAGTTTCAGTAACGCAGACCTTGTGGATGAAGAGCCCCTGCTGATGGAGAGGAGCTTCTTCACGCCACAGTGGAGGTGTTACGCCAAGTACATCAGCTCCCAGCAGCTGCTCCTCACCTTCCTCCCCGCCACCTTCGCAGGTACAGACTCTTATAAGAACACATTCTCTCAGTGGGAAACAGAAAATGAGGAAGTTGAGTCTGTTTCGCAGATGTTCTGATGCTGATGGCGTCACCAGAGGAGACCGAGCCTCGGAGCACTGTCAGTACCCAGGAGGACGACACTCTGACTCCCAGCAACAAGTCTCAGGCAGACTCCCTGTCGGGCTCCACCTGTGGTCTGGACAGGTCTGAGTCTGGACACAGTTCAGCCTGTAAAGTGTGCAGGACGTCCCGAGGTGGGCACAAGTCCCCCTCCCTCTCACCATCCTCTGAAAATCACACCGAATCTGTCGAGTCCCTGTGTTTGGACCCCTGCGGCTCGGACTGCAGACTGTCGGAGAGAGAAGCCGGGACACCCAGCTCAGGTCGGTTTAAAGTTTGAATCCAAAACCCGACCGTAAAGCACCGATGATCCGGTGATCATGTTCCTTCTGCTCCAGGCCTTGGAGATAAAGAAGGAGTCCAGTTCTCGGAGCCGCAGAAGTCCGATTTTCACATCAGCTTCAGCCGACAGGTTTCACAGCACAGCACAGGTACCAGCAGCAGCTGCCTGAGGTGTCCGGTGTACGTCTACAACTGCTCACTGGAGCACCTGAAGGAGCAGCTGGTCCAGCCCAGCTCAAGCCGCCATCCCAGGGACGTCTTCTTCAGGTGAGGAGCTTCTTCCAGACCAGGAGTTCTCCTTCATGCAGAGGTGCATAGGAACAAAGAACGTTACTTTGTTACAGTACTTAGGTCATTTATTTGAGGATCTGTAATTTTACTAAGTATTTTTTTAAATCATAACTTATACTTTTTATTTTGTTACATTCAAAACATAAAAGTGATACTTTTTACTTCTTGGTTTTAAAATTTAGCACCTAGTTACTTGTGATGGTGCGTTCACACCAAACGTGATTTCAGCATCAGGAGCATCAGGTTTACATACAAAGTCTATGGTGGACGCGCTTCAATCAGCGTCGGGAAGTGCTGCGGCGCCTCAAGCGCGATTAGAGCAGTGCAATTTGAACGATTTGAGCTTCGACATGCTTGATGCGCAAATTGCTGAAGTTAGAAAATCTGAACTTTTGCAGCTCGACGCGCCACGTCAACCAATCAGAGAGACTCCACTTTGTGACATAGCGACATATTTCCCGACGGGACAGTTTACTGAATGATGTCCACTAACCTGAAACAGATGGAGAGGAGCTTTTAGCTGAAATCGAGTGCCTGCAGTCGGTGTCCTGACAGGAGATATCCACACCAATGCTTGGCAGCGACTCATCAGACTGGACTCGGGACAAAAATAGTCCTGAAAGCGAGCTGTGAGCCTCTCCTGCAGCTCCTGGGTGATGAAACTCAGAATGTCTCTGAATTATCTGGTGAATTAATTATGAATTAATTATCTGATGAACGTGACATGCTCTGGCTCTCTGTAAATAAAGCAAAGCCACTTCCTCGTCCGACATTAAACAGAGCCCAACAGAGGAGGGAGGGGCGGGGAGGCTCTTGCCGTGCAGCGCTTCAAGAGCTGACCTGCGTCTGACCTCAAAGTGCACAAGCGTCCAACTTGAAGCGTTGGCTGCAATTTTGACGCTGAAATCGCGTTCGGTGTGAACGCAGCATTAGAAATTTAAATATGACCGAATTCATCATAAAAGCAGTTGTGTATGCACTCTAAAAACTAAAGTGTTGAATTTGCTTAACCAAGTTATGTCAACTGGTTCCACTAAACTGAGCTGAGTTGACTGTTTTACATTTACTCAACTAGGATTAGTTAAACCAGTTTAGTTAAATGAATTCAACGCATTTTTTTTTTTAGAGTGGTGAGCAGCTTTATGATTTTAACTTAAAGACTTCTCTTATTAGTAAAATTCGTTTTACCCAAGTCGTTTTCTGTTGAGGTATTTTTACTTTTACTTATTTCTTTTAAATACTTTATAGACTTCTGCCTTCATGTTTGGAACAATTTGCTGTTAGGAACTTTTTTTAGGTGAGGAGCTTCAGGTCAGGAGCTCAACTTCAGAAGGAGTGTGGGTAAACTGGTGTAGAAGCTTGTCAGTCCAGATTTAAAAGATTCTGAATCAACTTTCAAATGTCAGAAATGGATTTTATTAATTTGTACTGGCACCTGAGAGACCACAAAGTAGTTGCTGTGATTGGCGGCGCTGTTTATCGTAGTACAGTTAACTTTCTACTGTTTATTGATAGAAACTGGGAAGATGGGAGGTGAAACTGATACAGGACCAGCCTTCTCTTGTCAGCTGGTTCCAGCAGGTTTTAAGTCCCGCCCCCTCCATGTAAACAAACAGGACAGAAACAAAAAAAAAAAAAAATGCACCACAGATGTTTCTTTCCAGGTGTTGACTCTTTTTGATTCACACAGTTCTTTCGTTGCTTCTGTTGGTTCAAATATTCATTTTTATAACACGTTTAGCTGCAGTTATTTCAGGCTGAAAAAATGGAGGGAGTAGGCGGGGCTTAAACACATCACTCACAGACTCTGCTTCTGAAAATGCAGCATGGTAACACTTGTAAAAACTGGATTTATTTTCCAACAATAAGAGAAAAAGCAGCGACCTGAAGTTATAATATATGAAGGCTAACGATTGAAGCATGTTGCTGTGTGTTTTATGTTTTTAATTTTTATTTTTTGGTTGGTGAGGTTGTACAGATTGTCCATAAATGACACAGTTTTACCCCATTTTGCAAGTATACAGACGTATAGAGAAATCTCATGGATTTATTTTTCTAAAACTCAGCTTCAAATTTATTTTACACCTCAGATCCTTTTGGATGTAAAAAAAACAATAAATAAAATGGAATAACCATCTCCCAACCCATTCTGTTTCTCATTTGAAGCGTTTCTCCAGCAGCACGGAGCTGTCTGTGATGGAGTTCTAATGAAATCTGATTAAAGGTTTTATATTAACTCCAACTTTAACTGATTCTGTGTAAAGATAAAAACTGTTGAAATGAAGCACGATGTTGATAAATGTGTCTGGAGGCTTGGTTAGAGCAGTCGAAACATCTCCAGTTTTGAGTTTGTGCTCAGCGTTGAGGCCTTTTCTCCAACACTAACTGCGGTCCTGTTGTCAACATGTCTTCATGGACGTGTCAGCAGAAGCCAAGATGCTGAATCCTGGGACATGATCAGGTAGCACGGTCTCAGTTTGGTGTTGGTGCTCTTCTTCTCTCCTGCTGAAGTGCTGCTCAGCTCTCGTCTGACACCTTTCAACTTCTGGAAGTGTTGGTTGTCTGCAGGAATGGCGGGGGGGAGTGCTGCATGTTTTCTTCTTGGGCCGGTGTGAATTTCCTCCATGGGCTGATGTTTTCTGCGCACAGAGTGGGTGCAGCGATGCCACGTCCACACAGTAATTATCCTGTGACAGTGACCGGGATGAACCACGGCTTTAAGAGAGGAGAGAGACGCTCTCACCACCCTCAGCAGGGACAAGACCATCATCATCCTCCCAGCAGACAGCAGTGCTTAAGGAATACGTGTTGCTACTTTTCTTAGCCTGAGATCATAGATGAGAAAAGCTCTACCGTTTGAACAGGTTTTATTTATTATTTTGAACTTTGATAGTAAATTATCATTCCAGATTTTGCAGGAGTTTAACTGTGTCTCCCTTCTTTTAGATCTTATGAATTATTTATTTATTTTTCAGGTTTTTTTCCTCTACTTCTTCCTCTGCTCTTGCTGTGGAGGGCTCACTTTTCTTTTTGTCTCCTTTAATGTTGCTTGTTCTGTCTGTTAGGACCAGTTCAACAGGTTCCTCCTGATCAGCATCTTCTGTGTGTTTCTTGTCTCTTGGCAGGTCTTTGTCTCAGGACCGCGGCAGCTCGTCGCCCTGGACCGAACTCCTGGCTCAGCCTCACAAACATAAAGAGCTGGCCAACTATTGCAGCTTGCTGCAGGAGCACTACCACCAGAGCTACGTCAGAGGTAACCTCCCGCAGACTTTGGGTCTGGTTCGGGTCTCAATGCAGCACTTGTCCTCTGCATCTTCCAACAGCTGGTGCAGAACTGAATCCTGTATCCTTACATGGTGTCACACTATATTCAAAGGACTCTGAATCTATCTGATACGTGGAAGTAGTATGTGATTTCCTAAAACTATCTGCTCATGGGCTCATGGCTTGGTTTATCTCCTTTCTTGCATCTTTGAGTATCCAACTAGACAAGGTTTTTGAAGTTTTCACTGCAGCAATAGGTGGGGATGATGTTCTGAAAAAACTAAATTTGAGTGATTTCTCAGCAGCAGTACACACAGTCACTACTCGATGACAGTAATGTGACGTAGTTTGATTCTTTCCACCTCATTGTGTGTGAGGAAGGTTTCTGAGCAGGTTTACCCGAAGGTTTCACATCAGACCTGTGTTTACGGTGCTGTTCTCTGATCGTCAGGTGTGTACCGCAGCCTGCAGCAGTCCTACAGCATCAGCCATCAGGACATCCTGATGGCAATGGACTACTGTGAAGAGTCGCTGCAGGAGATCGACATCACCACCTTCCTGCAGACCCTCTGCGGACACATCAGGGCTTTTAGGGAAAGCGGGAAGGGTCCCAAACCAGGAGAGGTCCCTAAACCTTCAAGGAGTCCAGCAACCTTCACCATTGGAGAGGCAGACGATGGGCGAGCCAAGACCACGGCAGCCATAACCTCCTCGAGCAGGTAAGATCCACCAGTGAAACGAGAGGAAAAGCAAAGGAAACTGAGACAATTTTTTATTGCACAGACGAACGGAGCATTTTGTTGTTGACATCCTTTCTGCAGGGAGAGATACATCCACAGTTGTTAAATATATTTGTGATTACAGGGTTGGATGATTTTTGATATTCATGTTTTAAATAAATCAGTGCATTACAATTGTGGTTATTTCACTGAGTTAAAATAGAAAGTGTCCTGCAGATGGTGCTGTTAAATGTGCTAAAGCTCAGGCTGAATAAGTCCTGCCGCACACACAAGTTTGTATTTGTTTGTTTGTTGTATTGTTTGTTTCATTTCCACTCATTTTTGTAGCCTAACCCTGACCCTTATCCTAAAGCAGGGCTATTCAACTAAATTGCTCCAGGGGCCACAGTTACTGCAGGCCAGCAGCACAGGGGCCGAAAATCCAGCAATTACAATTATTATGTAAATAAACCAAGTATTACAAATAGGGCGTTGCGGTATATGTGGTAGATTGTAGAAACGGTATGAAGTTGGCCTACGGTAGAAATTTACCCTCTACCGTCAAATCGTCAGTTATGTCATTGCACCTGTGAGTGCAGAAAATGAAGAAATAAGGCGTTTTAAACCACGTATAGAGAGAATAAATCCTCAAAATTTCCCCTCCCGCTGTAGAAAAGTTACATTGGGATCATTTCCTCCTCCCTCCCGCTGCACGTCGCACAGAGCGAAGCTTTAACAACTGTAGTTTTTTCACACCCAAGTTGTCGGAGAAAAAACTTGTTTTTTTGTGTATTGTTACTGTGTATTGTTACCGACAGAGATGATAAAAAGACGGGGACGTTCATTCAGTCATAAATCCTTCTTGCTAATGTAAAGTTCTCTTCTGCCCTGATGATGAAGATGAGCGCGCAGCAGAGCAGCAGCTGATAGCAGGCAGAAGCTCATTGTTTGACAGGCAGATATTAAAGCAAAAATGCTAGGTTTGATTATGATTACAGTTAGGGTTGGGCATAATCGTATCATGTGCAATTAATCGTCAGAAAAACATTAATCGATAATTTTTTGGCACTTGACGATTAATACGATTAATGCCATCAGGCAGACTGACTGGGGATTACTCTGGTCAGTCTGCTTGTTGCTCCTCTCCGCTTCAAATAGGACGAACATTAAAAATAAAGTCCTGTAATTTATTTATCTATCAACACAATTAAAAATATGATGTATATCCTGAAATCTGTAATTTTCACACGATTTTGAATTTTTTTTTATAAAGACCAAATCTTTCCCACTAAATTGGTCATCACTACGAAATAAGGGTGTCCAGGGACTCCAGGGGATTAATCGTCAAATTAATCGTTATCGGCTAAATACCACAATTAATCGTGATTAATTTTTTTGCCACTATTGCCCAACCCTAATTACAGTTTTCTGCAAAAAAAAGCTCTTAAAATTACATTTCCTGTACTTTTTATGATAATTTTATACCACGATATATACTGTTACTGTGAAGGGATTCAATTTATACAGTGATATGAATTTGAGGTCATACTGCCCAGCACTAATTACAAAGATCAGTTGCCTTTGACTTAGTTTATTTTGCTGCATTTAATCATGAATAAAACAAACAGAGCCCTATGTAATAAAAGTTGTTCAATTAAATCAAAAACAAAAATAACACATTTTGTCTCCTATTTAACACCAATAAATCGATATTATTTTTACTTATCTTAGTTTTATCTTCAACTACTTGTAGTTTAAACTGTCTTGGATGTTCATAGAAATTTTTTTTACCAGCTTCTAGATTCAGTTTTTTTTGCCACTTCAGTAGAAAGCAGAACTGAATATCTGAATATTATCATCTTAGCTTCTTCATCATCAGTGGCTTTTTTTAATAGGAGAAAAAGAAAGAGAAAGAAAAAAGTGAAATGTAATGAGAAAGAGTGAAAGAGAGATTAGAAGATATGTGAAATACTGTATATGTTTAGAAAACACAAGACAGCACACCTGACATCTTGGCTCCACAC